TTATATATCTATTACATCTTACTTTTTATATGTGTAATATTCCACATTCTCCAATACAGAACAGTAAAATGATTACTGTGTGTATATTTATATATAAAATGTGCAACTTTCCTTGTCGTTTTACCTTTCAAATGCAACTATATGTGAGACATTTTAACGACCAACTCCTCCAAGTGGCTTATTTGGAAGAGTATGCGGTTGCGGACCACAACTGCGTGGCCAGCTTGGATGCGTGGCTGTCTCACAATCAGCTTGTCCAACATGCTGCTTCTGAGCAGGCTGAACAACATAGAATAACACTACAAACGATACTACTCAACAAAAGCTTTCGCAAGCCCAGTGGGTATCTATGCAGCATCGGTAGAACAGCGAAAAGCGGTGCAGGAGGACCAAGCTATCCCTTCAAATGCACACATTCCAAAGGCGACGACTTTGTAACAATACGCATGCGTACATTCCCGTTGCATTAGTAACAACTAATACAGCCTGTCGAGCCGATTGTTGGAAACTGTAGACTTACACTGGAGACCGCGTCCCTTTTCTGGGGTTATTTAGGGTTCGAGTCAACTATTCAAACTTCCCCGATCGATGAGCACTCGAGCGGACTACTGTGAAGCTACTTGAGAAGCTAGGGGGGAAAGTGAAAACAATTCAGTGACGCGACAGTAGCCTATTGCAAATGAAGAACATTTGCGTTTGGCTGTAGCAGGTTGCCGACGAAGAGATTCACCATACAAAAAGAATGTGTGACGGAAAGCTCATGATGTGCCATCAAATTTGTTTACAAGCTCTCCCCCGCCATCAAATAATTCTTCATAACCTTACGTTGTGCAGTCAAGTAGTTACGTTTCTCACCGGCCTCGCAGAGCACTTGTGCCCTGCCATTGGCCCTGGAGGTGCCATCGATTCCGATATGAGTCTTTTTCTTGAATGATGGAGAATTATTGGCTTACCCTTGGCCATGGCATGCATTCGCGCCCCGTAGGAGGAACAAAGAGCTCACTTTAAAATCCCGTAGTAAAGGTTGTAGATAGTCGACGTAGTTATTCGAAAGCTACCGGCACAGTATGCCATGGTTTGTTTTGGCGATGGTCTCACAGTACCGCATGTGCATTCTTGAAAGGACAGAGGTTTTGCAGTAATGCAACGCTACACGCGGCTCGAGACACTTAAACCGAGAAAAATGGGTTGCCTCCGTCTTGGCGCAATTGTTGAATATTCAAAATTTTGGCAAAATTTTCATTTGGCAATGAATACCTCTCAACTCACTTGCTTGTAAAGTTCCTGTTCATTTGAGCCCATCCTTTTGGGCGGCAAAGGGGCATTTTAAATTTGCGGAGTGAAATATTAGGATCCTGATACTGGACAGAGTCCCACCAAGGATGTTCGCATGCTTGCACCCAAACAGCGGATGGGGAAACCTTCATTTGATTCAAAACGCGCAAAGTCGTGCCAAGATGCCTTTAATGCAAGCAACCTTGATGGCGCGCTTCAAGTGTCTGGCATTCACTAGCTGCCCCGGAAGTGGAAGCAATTGAAAGATTCGGGCACACATCCACTATCACGGAACGGCGCTGCGGAATGCCTTGATCAAGAAAGTTATCCCACGAGAAGACATTCTCAAGTGAAACAACGCGGGTGTTCTAAATATTTGGAAGCCACATGTCAAGACCTTAACTAGACAAAATACACACACTGGAGCACCGAAGGGCGCCTGCCGTACTATAGGGGACGGTAAGATCTGAACAGGCCGGCTCTGTTACCATGTCATGAGGGTCTAGCAAGTGCCTTAGTCAGGCTTTCAACTTCTTACTCCTCCAAGACTTTGAATTCGCCTTACACGCCCACGTTGTATTGGAATCAGACTCCGTTGGAACTAAGGCTTACGCTCATGCTTAGTTTCGCTTCAAGTTCCTCCTGTTTCAAGTGCTCAAGACTTTCTGCCCCACTTTCTAGTGCTAGGGTCCTGGATGTAATAGGATCTGCTTCCTGTAACGAATTGTTTGCTGCACACTCTTCTGATGGTGGCTTGTCCTCGAGAAGTAGACTGACAGCTCCAGCAGACCCTTCGGTGCCAGGCCCTGATTCAGCGGGAGCGAAGCGCTTCCTGAAGCGCTTCGATCCACTCGGAGAAGCAAAGCCTATTTCCAGCAAACAGATCCGCCAGAGCTGCATTTGCCGCTTCATTGGCGGGTTGAATAAGATGTGGAGGTCCAACAGAACTCACCGGAGGCGCAGCACAGCAGCTAAATCTTGGAGCAGTACCATTGATTCCCCCGTAACAGAACTCATGTGCTCTAAAACGCACATGATGCGCACGTGGAAGTTTTCAATAGGGGAGTTACCTTCGGTCTTACGGGTTGCGAATCCCTGCTTCCAGAAACTCAATTCTAGAGGGAAGGTTAGCCCCCCAGGTTGGCGACAAGCCCTGGTAGGGTCGGGAACACAACGCATGACATTTCTCTCGCTGCTGATTAACCTTTTCCTGGAGAGGAGATACATGCACTGAATTCAAAAGTGAAATGGGTGGCTCGGACTCTTGAAGGACATCGAGACCTTGCTTGAGCAGAACTACTCCGTAAGACAAAAGGAAGATTTCCCACGGTCCGACGGCGGCCAACAGCTCAGCTACTGTTTCAAAAGCCTCCATTCTAAGGGAGATTTTCTTGAACCTCTCCCCCAACTCCGTAGTTCCCGCAGCAGGCGGTTTGTCCCCTGGAGAGGAAGGGCTCTCTGGCGGGAAAGGGTCCTCGTCAAGCGGCGCAGGCTGGCCTCCAGGTGGTGGGGACGGCCCTTCTGATGGTTGAGGCGAATCCCCTGGTTGCCGTTAGTCATCTCCCTGGAATGGAGGCCGGGATTTCCCTTTTCCTGACGGGTGGTCATCTCCTGCCAAAGCACTACCATCATCTGCGGATTGCAAAAAATATACCATCGAAGTTTTAGTAAAAAATGCTAAAAATATGACTAAGTGTATACATTTTTTGTCTGAGGCATCTTCCACCTTTCTAGGGCCAGGTGGCGTATTGAGATCACCATAATAGGTGATATGCCTGATTTCAGAGTAGCCGGCTGCGCAGCTGCAGGACCTGCTAGTGGGGTGCGGGGGTGTGCACCGCTAATCTTTGCCTTGGATGCTTTTCCCAGGGGTGTCATACCTGGAAAGGCTTCGTCGCTGGTTGCCAACGAAGGAATTTGCGTTGAGAGGACGACAGGTGAAGCCGTGCCTGCTGACGAGCTGAGCTGTTGCGTCCCCGGTGCGGGAGTAAGAGGTGGAATCGTATCTAGACTTTCTGAGTCATCACCCAGCGGTGGGTAACGCAAAAGCGCGGGTGGTGAAGGTTAAGTTGAAGGGTCTAAAGAAAGACCATCAGCTGACGACGTTGGTCGGAATGAAATGTGGGAAATGTGGCTGGTGTGCTGGTGAGCTCTCCAGCGAAGGAATATGCGGAGGTGACGCTGGGTAGGAAACCATATTTGACTTTTGTGGGGGATTGACTGGTGGGGGTCGGGGCTTCCGGAGACTGGCGGCTTTATGCCGTGACGTTGGCGCAGCGTCTCGCGAAGTTGCCGACGCAAGGTATCCGATTGAGGAGGCAAGCGACTATGTGGAGGACGGGGAGCACCAGGAAGAAGGAAAGGGGATTCAGGACCCAAAGAAAGACAGCTCCAACGGGCGCAGCCACCTCCAGACGCCTGATGCTGTAGGCTGCCACAACCAGACTCATATGAAGGCCTAGGGGCCAAAGAACGCCCCATTGTCGGAGAACGGCGCACCGAAGTTACAGTTGAACGGTCAATTTGATTCGGTAGCACAGATCTTCCCCCCCCCCCCC